GGTCCACCTCTCCAACTACCAGCCTCCTCGATGTGCCCGGGGGGTTAAGAACTTCCTGACCTCGGATCGGTTCTGTGTCCTGCACCTCCTCCCCCAAGAAGCAGGTAGGGGTTCTGGTGACTCAGACCCCAAAACACGTGTGAAACAACCATTTTGTGGATTCCGAGGGTCAGGAAGAGGTCGGGGATGCTGGCTGGAGACTGGAAGGCAGGCCAGGCACGCACTTGAAGACTCGAAGGTGCCGTCAGCCCAGCCCCCAGAGTTGAGCTTCGCGGCGGCTTTTTCATGTGGGGATGCTGAAGCTCTTCCCCGAGTTCAAGAAACAAGGAAGGAGTTTCTGTGGCTTGGCTGTGGGAGCTGAGGAAATGTTGGGGGGCAGAGTGGGCTGTGGGGGGCTGGGAACCTCTGGCTGATAAGCAGGGGTGGCTGAGCATAAGTCAGGTGGCTGGAGGAGGGGGGCTTCCTGCATCACCATAGCAGCCCAGGCCCTGAGCTCCTAGGAAGGGCTTGGGGCGGCGTTGGGGAGTTAGCCAAGCTGGAAGGTCAGAGGGCACAGTCTCCACTTCTGACACCAACTGCAAGTTCGGGGGTCCTCCAAACCACCCTGGAGTTTGATCATTCTCTGGAAGGGATTCGCAGACCTCACTGAAAGCACCTGAGAGGCTGCACAGGTTACCAAGGGAGGAGCGTGGGGAGGGGGTCTCGCCATCACCACCGTCCACTTATGCCCCTCCCGGCACCACGGGCCCCACACGGGGGGCCAGTGCCGGTGTGACGCCTGCATCGCGCTCCAGCTGACCTCAGTCTCCAGGCCCACTGATGCCGTCACGCAAGGCCACCGTAGAACGCAAGGTTGATCTTCCTGGCATGGCCAGTCCTGTCAGGCGGGACACAGATCACCTCGAACACCCCTCTGGGCACGGCTAAAGCCTCTACAGCCCGAGGGCATGAGGCAGAGACTCACCGCCCAGCCCTGGGCCGGACCCGCGGCGCCCCTGGGCCAGGTTTGGGCGCCGTGTCTGTTCTGCGTCTGCCCTCGTCTCCGCCCCCACCACGAGGGGCGGGAGACAGGGTTCTGGAGGCGCAACCGCGGTCACAGAGAGGACGGTGACTTGGCAGGATTCAAACCCAGCCGGCGTGGTCCAGGCGGGCCGGGGGCCTCTCACGGGGAGAAGGAGCCTTCCAGTACTGGGAAGGCAGCCTGGGCGGGGTTGAGGGCTCGCGGTCTGCACCCGGCGCTGCTTCGAATTGCGTCCTGTCCCCTGTGAGCTGGTTGGCTTTGGGCAGGCCCCTCTGCCTCACCCGGCCTCTGTTTCCCCATGTGTGAGTGGGAGCGGCAGCGTCTCGCTGAGGATCCAGGGGGTCGTCCCTCTCACCTGGTACAGGCTTCGTGAACGGGCCCTGCACGGTGTGTGCGCAGCTTATGAGCCCTGGAGGGAGTGCGCAATGTCCCCATTGTACGGGGAGGGTGGGGGGGGGCGCGGGTAAACTGAGGCCCCAGAGCCAGGCCAGCTTGTTCGCAGTGGAGCCGGGACTCCGGCCTCGGTCAGGCGGCTTCGCGGGGGAGGGGTGCGCATCCCGGGTCCGCTCCCCACTCGCGGCTCCTTTTTATTGAAGTCATTTTTCTCCTCGCGTCAGCAGAGCCGGCTGCGGGCAGCCCCTCCCTCCCACCCGCGGAGGAGCTGAGAAGAAAACAAAGGCTTAATTGAATCCCACACGGGGGCGGGGGAGAGGGGGGAGAGGCCCTCGGCACTCGGAGGCCAGGGGAGCCCGGGCCTCAGTGGATCTGACTGGGCCTGTAATTAAAATCCTGATGTGATTAGATTAATACCATCGCTGCCCTGCGCCTGCGGCCGCGCATGGACCCATCACAGCGACTGCGTGGGGAGCCTGAGACCCAGACAAGCCACGTGAGTTGCCCAAGAACACAGGGCGAGTGAAAAATCGGGGGCTTGAATTCCGCCGTGGAACGCTCCCCTCGCTTGTCAGGGTTCAGATTCCCAGACTCCAGACATGGGGTGCCAGTGAGGGGGTCGCTCCAGGCCGGGGGAGGTGTATGCACAACGCAAGCTGTCGGGAAAGTGCATGGGTTGCAGGGCAGGGCGCCCGTAGCAGGCCTCCCATGCCAGGGTGTGGGGCCCTGGGAACTATGGAAGGTTTAAGAGCAGCAGGTGAAGGCAGGGGGCAGACTAGGGTGGGCAGTGCATCAGGGCTGTGGTGGGGTGGGATGGAGGCCTACTGCAGGCTGGATTCCCAAGTCCCCTGGAATGTCTCTGCTGCCCCAGAGCTCCTTCCCTGTTTCAGATTCTGCTCCTTCTGCAAAGCCTTTCTTGATGAATGCCCTGATGGAAGCTCACCCCCTCACTCCAGGGCCACCTTCTCCAGCTCTGTGGGATATACAAATCCCAGGCCTTCCCCATGCTGCCTTCCTTCTCTGCTTCCCTTTCCCGTGTCAGACTGGGGCACCCCAGGTCGGTGCTGTTCCTCCTTCCTCAGACCGGAGATGCTGTATCAGTGATCTTTGGCTGCAAATGAAAAAAAAAAAGTCAAACTGGCTTAAGCAAAGAAGGGAATTTATTGGCCCTCTGAACTGAAATGGTGAAATGGACTGCAGGCGTAGCTGGATCCAGGTGCCCACCATGTTGCCAGGCATTTGCCTCCTCATCTTTTGCTCTGCTGTCTCCTGTGCCGGCCCCACTCTGAGAAAGGGGCATGGTTTTGCGATCTTCACCAAATCAGATGCCTACTGCTAGGGGTGGACCTGGATGACCACAGCCCCCACTGAGAGTAGGACGATGTTGGATGGCAGCCGGGCTGGAAGGAGAGGGTGCTGGCACCACCTTCGTTTGCACCCTGGGCCGAGCACTGGGATGTTCCAGGTGCAACAGCAGACTATTCTGATAGGATCAATATTACAAGGCCGAGTATGACACTAACAAGGAATATAAAAGGGGTGTCTGACCTCACTGGGGTGGGGGCTGCCCTGGGGAAGAGGCAGTGGTTTGAGACCTCAAGATAGAGGGAGAGAACGTGGGAGAGGGGGTTCCCAGAGGGGAACCAGCACGGAGAGGGGAGGGAGGGGGTCTTCCTGAGTCCATTTATGTCTTTGGGGGCATCCTTTTGGGGGCTGCACAGGGCAGCCACAGCGCAAGCACACATGCACAAACACACGTACACGTGCACAGCCACACATTACACAGCAACATTTGTGCACACAGGGTTACATACATGCACAGGGTGCAAACACAGAAACGTGCACAATCCACACAGATGTGTGAGCACACACGTGCACGCACGTGTTTATGCCCACACTGTCACACATGTGCAAGCACGGCTGCACTCTCACACTCACGTGGCTACACTAACATTCACACACATGTGCCTATGGCCTACAGCACAGTTACACATGTGCACAGAGGCGCGTGGATGTGTGCATGCACACATACATCACACACACACACGTGCACGCACTGGTTGCCCATCCATGAGTGGCTGGTGGGGAAGAGGCAAGAAGGCGCCCGGTTGCCCTGGCAACACATCCTGGAACCCGACTAGGCCTGGTTAGTGCAGCTCATCTGGCGGGCTGTCAGCAGGTGGGGGCTGCTCAGGACCCCAACCCGCACAAGGTTGGTGAGGGAACAGCTGGTCTGATTCCACACTCTGGGGCTCAGTTTCCCCACCTGTCAAATGGAGCAAACACAGCCCACACCAGCTGCAACTCCCACACTCGCAAAGGCTGCGCAGTCCCGGGCTGCACAGACGCCCTCCCGTCCCTGTGCACTGCCTGACCCCCAGGCTTCCGTGATGGGAGGCCTGCCCCCCAGCCCGGGTCCCTGAGTGAAAGGAAGCCACTTCCCAGGGGACAGGGGAAGGCAGGGTCGGACCCAAGCTAGAAAGAGCAGGCAGTTCCTCAAGGGGGAGCAAAGGGGGAGGGCTGGGACCCTCGCCCTCCACTGCCAGCTCCCCGGTTCCCCAGCAACCTTGCAGGAACCCAGGGACAGGTTCAGGCCACGGCTTTCCATGGATTCACACACTGAGGAGCCTCCCTGGGGCCCAGCGCAGTGCTGGGGCTGGAGATGGCCTTTCACGGAGATAAACCTGCCAGCCCTGGGGTTGGAGACAGATACGACCCCAGACAGCCTGTGAGCTGAGGTGGGACAGGGAACACACAGCAGAGAGGGCCAGGAAGGCTTCCTCTATGAGGTGCCATCTCAGCTAGAGCCTGAGAGCAGGGAAGTTGAGGGGCAGGAGGCATTCCAAGCAGAGAGAACAAGCTGTGCGAAGGCACAGATGTGAATGGCCCAGAGCCGGCTCCCACGCCCCCAACCCACTGCCCCCGGCAGGGGGTCTCCAGGGTGTGTGACAAGGGTGGGGGCTGCCCTCCTGTCTGACTGCAGGGGCTGGGGCAGACCAGACGGGAGCGAGGGGCAGGTCAGCGGCGGCGCTCCCGCTTTGGCAGCTGATGGCATCTGAGGGGGTCCCCGTCGACGACGGCCCTGCACGTCCAGCCTCTGTCCCCAGAAGGTCAGAGCGCGGAAGGGGCCGATCCTGGCATGGCTCTCCCCGGTGGCTGCAGCGAGGGTGCGGATTCACATCCTGGCTCTGGGCCAGGCTGCCTCGGGAGGGTGACTGAGAGGCGGGGTCTCCACACCTAGGAGGTGGGATGCTCGTGGCCCTGGCGGGGCGAGAGCAGCGCTCTCACGCACACCTGCGGGATGAACGTCTCATGTCCTCCTAACAGGGCCTGGGGGTCCCTGCCCTGCTGCAGTCTCGCTTCCTTGCCTCCACCCCAAGCAGGAGAGGCCCAGAGGCTCTAAAAGGCTGGGTGGGGAGGGCTTCACTCATCCTGAAGGCTCCCGCCACCCTCCCTGGAATTCAAGACAAAACTCCTCTCTTGTTATTAAACAGCAAAGCCAGCAGATCTCCACCCCCGCATCCCTGGAACACCTTTATTGCACTAAAAACAGCAGTTATAAACAAACACTTGGGGGAGGTTGTCTTAAAGATGTACCCACAGTCAATTTCAAACACAGATGTCAAACAGTGCTGGGGCCTATAAAATGGGGGCCCCCAGAAGGAAAGCCGGGGATGTGAGCGGTCAGGGTCAGAGAAGGGGGCTGAAAGTCTGAGCATCTCACTCCATGCAGGGCTGTCTGCCCCCTCCACCCACAGGCCTGGCCCGGTGGTCCCCCGGAGCAGAGGGCCTAAGGGAGCAGGCCCAGGACAGAGGCCGGAGGGGGCACAGCAAGGGACCCTAGTGCCAAGGGCTTTCGTTCTCGGCCTCAAGGGTGCACAGGTATCTCACCACATGCGCAGAAGGGAACACATGCTCCTCCCCCCGCCCCCGGGGGCGCTGGAGGGAAACATGCTCCTTCATCCCTCCCCCAGGATGATCTGGAGACCCAGAGCCAGGAGGGACAACGTTTGGACTGGGAGGGGCACCCCAGGATCCCCACAGACTGGCCGGGTCCATCCTCGCCCAGCAGGCAGCCCAGGAGAGGTGAAGGGGCAGAGCTGGCCTTGCCTGGACCCTGCTTCAAACTGTATCGTTTCTGTTTCGTTGAGCAGGAAACCTCCACAAAAATCATTCAAGGACCCACAAACTGACACAATTAAACCCACGCAGCTGTTTTAGCAGCAGGAAAAGCCACAACCAGGGTCTCCCCAGCCTCCCCTTTGTCCCACCCACCCTAACCAAATCCTATGTACACGAGTGGAGTAAACGTCAAGGCCATCAGTCACTGGGCATCACTTCCTGGGTAATGCACCGGAGGGGGCAGGGGCCAGGGAGGAACGGGGCCCCCGGGCTGGCTCTGCTCTCTGGGTACGTTCTGAGCAACCCCTCCAGGGGAGGGAAGATCCCAACGTCCAGCAGGGCCACAGGGTCCCGTGTAGAGAAGGCGATGGAGGAAAACAGCTGACAGGAGGGCTGTCTCGCTCGAGCGGCTGGAGGGGAGCAACTGCCCCCATTTTCATCTGCTGGGACTTCCTCCACGGCTGCCTGTCTTTGCCAGGCAGTGGCTCTCAGACGTGGCTCTCGCCTCCAGAGCCTGGGAGGACCGAGGACTGCCCAGAGCCAGCCCACCCCAGGAGGGACGCTCCCACAGCCCCGAGGGGCACCGTGGGCAGAACTTGGGCCTGGCCCTGATCTCTGGGGGGGCGGGGGGCAGGGTCTGGCAGGCCGGTGGCAGGAGGACACTCATGCAGCAGAGGAGAAGATATGACTGGGCCTCAGGACCGGCGGCCTCTGGGTCTGTGATCGGCCTTAGCTGCCTCCTGGCCCAGGTTCCAGAACTCGGGAAGGGGTGAGGCAGGGGCATGGAACTTGGGGCACAGGGGGACCCTCAGCCCTGCAAGCTGACCCCTTCTTTTCCCCGGCAGCCCCCTCCCTTCTCCTCTGGAAAACAGCATGACCCAGGACACCCCCAACATGGGCTGCAGCATCAGGGCCGGGCAGCCTGAGTGGAAACCACCTCCCCTGCCGGATCCGGGTGGGGGCGGGGTCTCCTCTGCCGGCGGGAGGGGGCGTGGGGGCCTTTAAAAGAAGGGAAGCAGAGAGGTGAGGGGCAGCTCCTTCTCCCCGAGCAGGGTGTCCCGCTTGAGGCTGCTGCCCTTGTTCACCACCTTGATCCTGAGCGCCAGCTTCCGCACGCTGGCCGGCCCCAGACCGTCGAAGAAGAAGTCCTCGTTGAAGACGGGATGGCGGCTGTTCTTGACGATGGTGCTGCGCTGCTTCTGCAGCTTGCCGGGCACCAAGCACAGGCCCACACAGCAGTTGATGCTGCGGGCGTCGCAGAGCCGGTCGTAGAGGCCCTCGGCCGCCAGCAGGCGTACGCGCAGGCGGGCCTGGGCCGCCTCATACTCCGCCAGCAGCCGCACGCTGCCCCGCGGGCCTATGCGCACAGCGTGCTCCGCGCGGGGCGCCGCGCCGGGCTCGGGGCCGGGCTCCGGAGTGGCCCTGCGGGCCAGGCGGCGCCGGGCCCTAGGGCTGGTGTCCGGCGTGCTGTCGTCGGCCGACGGGGAGCCGTGGCGGCCCACCGAGTGCTTCAGCTGGCTCACCTTGGCCTGGCTGTCCTGGGCGAACCCTTTGAGCAGCGACACGGAGCGCGAGAGCAGGGGGGACCCGAACGGCGAGGACTCGGCCGAGGACCCCGTGTCGCTCTCCCCGCCACTGACGCAGCGGCCGGGGCTCATGAGGGCACCGCCGGCCTCCCTGGGCGCCCCATCGCCCCCGTTGGCCTTGACGCCCCCCCGACGGCGCCGGGTGCCCGGGGAGCCCACCTGGGCCAGAGCCCCGTGCTCGCTATGGAACAGAGACTCCTTGCGCCGTGTGTGGGGGCTCTCGGCCAGCGTGGCGAAGCCATAGGACGTCTGGGCCTTGGGCACCGAGGGCAGCGACATGGCCCCCTGGGCCTGGAGGTCGGCGTTGGTGGCGGCCTCCTCGGCGGTCCAGTCCTCCGCGCTCTCGATCTGGATCACATGCCTGGTGGCCGCCTTCAGCAGGCTCTTGCTCTCGGCGGCCAGCTTGGCAGGCAGCCGGGGGCTCCGGGGGGCGCGGCGGGGCGCGGCAGAGGCCAGGTTCTGCTCCGAGGTCGAGGGCCCCAGCTCAGCCTGAGCCTCCGGCTCCGTGGGGCCGGTAGGCAGCTTCGGGGGGATGAAGAAGTCCGGGATCTTGTCGGGCGTGAGCACGTTGCTGTACAGGGGACCCTTGGCGGCCCTGTCCCCACCCTCGCCCCCCGTAGCTCCATTCTCCCCTGACCCACGAAGCCGCTCCAAGAACCACATGTTGGTTTTCTTCATCGGGGCGGAGGCAGGAGCCTGGAGGGATCTGCGGAGCCTGGGAAGAGAAGCGGGGGTCGGGAGCTGCAGGCCCCCCTGCACGCGGGGGCTGGAAGAGGGGCTCCCGGCACCCGTTGGGGGGAGCCCTGCACGGGGCCAGCGGGGTCAGAAGGCGCTGAGGCCCAGGACCGTGGCGGGGTGGGCTCGCCCCCCCCTCCCCTCCCCTCCCCTCCCTCCCCAGAGGAATCGCGCTTAACTTCCAAGTGCCGAAGCCCGGCCCGAGAGGTGGGGGCGGCGCTGACTCTCGGGAAGCTCCCAGGGGACTGCGGCTCCACTCTCGCCCCCACCCCCGTTCTGAGGATCTCAAAGCGCTTTCTAAAGGGGTCCGCGCTCAGTCCAGGGGGAAGACACCCCAGGGCATACGGTGGACCCTGGGGTGTCCCAGCTCCGCCCCCCCCCAAGCTCCCACCCACCTGTGGCTTCTCCCGGGCCGAGGGTCCAGGCATCCGGGGTGAGGGAAGGGAGAGGAGGTGAGTCTGGGGGCTGGCGGCGCGGCGAACCGACCCCTCCCCTCCTCTCCCCCACCCCGCCCCGCGGGACTCGGCTGGGGGTGGGGGTGGGGTCCTAGCAGCCCCCGCGGAGCGTGGCGGGGCCCCGAACTCACCTGCCCGGGGACGGTGGCCGAGGCTGGCTGGTCCGCGGACACGCCGGGGTCTCGGCGCAAGGGCTGGGGGCGCGGGGACGCGGGCGCAGCCTCGGTCGGGCGGCAGCGGCAGCGCAGTCGGACTCATTCACCAGCGGCGGCGGCGGCGGGAAACCGCCCAGCTGGCCGCCGCGCCGCCGTATTCCTCCTAGTACGGCCGCCCTCCTCCCCCGCCTCGCTTGCCCCGGGGACCGGGCGGGCGGTCTGCGCAGCCCCCAGCGGGCAGAACCGAGGAGCCTCGCGGGGACTCGGGGACTGAAGGGGTGGGGGGAAGGAGGCAGGTGGTGGCGGTTTGCTGACGCCCCTAGAAACCCCAGGCCCCTGCCTCAGTTCGTCTGAGGGCCATTTCCCGACTTACGCTGACGAGTAAAAGAACAGCAATAATAATAACGGCAGCTGAATTTATTAGTGAGCACTTTCTCAGTTCCAGGCTCTTAGCGCCCTCCCCCCAACTCATTCCACAAAAACCGGCGGGTACGTCCTATGGCTGTCTCCAGTTTGCACATGAGGAAGGTGAAGGTTTCTTTCCAGAAACAAGGAGCTTGCCGCTGAGACGCGGCTCAGTGCAGACACCCGAGAAGCCGGCCAGGGCGCTGCTCCTTCATGGGAGAGATGTTTATCGAGCACCTACTGGACGCTGGGAACATGGCTGTGGCTGGCATGCAGCTGCCGGCTTTGTGATGTGTCCTGGTCGGAAGGACGCCAATACAGAAATACACAGGTAAATACTAACCGTAGGTTTGGTGGCTCCCATGACAAAATGTAACAGGAAAAATGTGATTCGGGGAGAAAGGAGAGAGTACCCCCCTTCAGTTCACAGATGGCTAAACCAGCAAGGGTAAGACCAGGAGACTCAGGCCTGGCAGCTCTGAGACCACAGCGTGTCTTGGGATTCCACCCTCCACCCTTGTGATATGCTGGCCCCAACCCCCCTCTTCCTCACTCCTTCCTCCCTCCCAGCCTCAGTTTCCTCTTCTGGAATCCAAGGCCGAGTGACCAGTCCCAAGTCCAGCAAGATACTGTATTGCCAAGACTGATGCAGAGCAGGGGAAGCCTAGACCTTATTTAATTATCATATTCCAGGGGCCTCCTCCCTTCCAGAAAGGTCCCCGAGCATCGTCGTGGCTGGAGCTGGGATGGGGGCTGGTCTGGAGTGACGGTTGGTTCAACAGCAGAAGGGGGGACGGTGGGGGGGCAGACTGAGCTGGAGCTGGACAGAGGCCCCTCCAACACTTCCACTTGACCTTGGAGTGAGGTGGGGCTTAGAGTCCCATTGTCCAGATGGGGAAAGTGAGGCTCCCTCAAGAGGCCTGTCTCAACTTTGCTCACCCAGGAAACACTGAGCCCCCCTTTGTTCTGGGGGCAACACTGGCGTGGCCACACAGTCTGACAAAGGAGGCAGATACCAATGAATGCATCACTTCACTGCCACCTCCAGGAAGCCTGCCCTGCCTGCCCCACATCACAGCCCAACAGAGCCCACGAAACCTTAACTTCAGCTCTCATGAAAAATACCCTCGAGTAATTACTCGGTTGATGTCAGTCACCCCTGCTGGGCCCGGAGTGCCACAGTAGGAAGGGTGACCCTAGAACAATGCTCTTCCCCGCAGGGGCCTCGAGCCACCGCCCAGGGTGGCGAGGTGACCGGCTCAGGCGTCCCGATGACAGGCCGGCCTGGGTACTGGGGCTTCGCTCCCCACACACCCTCGCCTCGCTGGGAGCGGGGTCTTCCTCCCAGCTGGGTTGGGGGAGGAGGGCAGTGAGTTTATTCTGTGCTGGTCTCTGCGCTGAGTAGCTCAGGACGCTAGTCCGGAGCCTTGTATCCGGGTTCAGATCCTGGTGCCAACTATTCCTGCTGTGTGACTTCCGGCAAGTGTCCAAATCTCTCTGTGCCTCTGTGTTCTTAGCAGTCCATGGGCATAACACCTGCCCCTGAATTGCAGCGTCAGAGTGAAGATTCCACAGGGTGAGGTACTATTTGCAAAACGCTTAGTACGGGGACCAGAAACGTGTGAGTTAAGTGTGGGTTCCACGGATGCTGCTACCGGTGAAGAAGGGGACTCAGTGGGGGAGGAGCCCCAGGACCTGACCCCACCACGGTCCGGCTCAGCCGGAAGCCCCACTCCTATCCCGACCCCATCACATTTGGGGAAACTGAGGCACAGCAGGGGGATGGGGGAAGGCACCTGGGGAAGGTCCCGAAGGCCTGCCCTGTGGAGCCAGGGACCCCACCCTGGGAGGGGCCCTTCCAGCTGGTCAGCTCAGCTCCGAGCCCAGCTCCATGTCCCTTTCTGTAAACAGGAACCTCTCCGGGTCCACAGAGCCCTCGGCTGATGGGCATGGCAGCACCCCCAGGACTCCCCCCCTCAGCAGCAGCCTTCTTGGAATCAGAAATGGGGAGGCTGCAGGCTGCAGGCTCAAGCTGGAGAGAGGGCCCCCTCCACCTCATGCTGGGTGGCCTTTATCCTCAACACCCTGCCAGGGACCCACTGAATGGGGAGGGGGATGTGGCAGACCTAAGGGTGGCTGGGAGGAAGCACCAGGAGGTGGCTTGCAAGAGATCTGAGCTCCAGTCCAGAGGGGCCACCTGGTGCCCATTTGGCTCCAAGCAGTGGCCTCCCCTCTGAGCTCCGCCTCCTTCCCTGGAAAAGGGGGCGCAGGCCTGTCTGCAAGCTCCCAGGAGGGTCCCGGGCCCAACAAGGCACAGGGTAGTCTGCGTCAGGGGAGGGCCATCATCCCCAGTTTACAGAGCAGGACGCTGAGGCACAAGGGAGGCCCAAGCCACAGGGCACCCAGTTCAGAGAAGGGAAGCTACTGGCCAAGGCAGCACGGTGGAGTTTGAACCCCCGTCTCTACTGCCTCCCTCCCCAAGTCTCCCTGAGGGCAAAGCTGGGGCAAGCAGCGTTTGTTGACTGAATAACTGAAGGTAGAATGGGGCAGGAGCTAGCTGTGCGGGGCCCAGGTTCCCAGCCCCCGTCACCATGGGGCACCCCAGGCCTGGCTTTCCCGACTCGGGGAGCAGGATAGGGAGGTGATGGGGTTGGAATTCAGGCTCTGCCCCCTCCCAGTGGTGTGGCCTTGGCAGTGACCTCATTCCTCAGAGCCTCTATTTCCTCATCTGTAAAGTGGGGAGAAGTTCAGGATTCCAAGTCTGTGCAGTTCTTAGCACATGCCCGGGGTGGGGTGCTAGATAGAGTCTTTGAAGGGGAACCTGGGTCTCGGAGGACCCAGAGCTAGGAATGAATGGCCTACAAATCTCCAGAATCTGACACTCCCCCCCACCCCCCCACCCGGTCCTTTCTGCCCGCCACCTCCCAGTCCCATCCTGTCCCCCACAGCTTAATTCCCACTTGGAAATCTTATCACCTCTGTGCTCAAAAGGCCCCAAGCGGCTCTCTCTGGCACCAAGCTTTGCCCAGCTGTGCCCCCCACTCCACCGCCCCTCTGATCTCCCTTCCAGCCGCTCTGGCCATCCTTCTGTCTCCTGAAGAAGTTGTGTTCCACACACCCAGGGCCTTTGCACACACCATCCCTTCCGCCCATATCTCTCTCCTCCTCTCTCGGGGCCTCCCTGCTCATCCTCCTGGATTTCCTGGGGCCCCTAAGCTCCAGGGCACTTCCCTTCCCATGGTTGTCATCAGACACTTAGCAGTGACCTGCTAATTAATGTCATTTGACAAACTCCACAAGAGCGGGTCTGTCTTGGTCACCCGTTGCATCCCCATTACCCACCAGGGGTCCTGGCAGGTGGACAAGAGGAGGTCATGAAGGCAGATTAAAGGATATTAGGATGGGGGTGTGGATGGATGGACAAATGAATGGTGAATGGGTAGTTAGATGGATGGATGTGTGATGGATAGGTGAGTAGACTGATGAACGATGGATGGACGGATGGGTGGGTGAGTGGATGGATGGATGGGTAGATGGATGGGTGGGTGGGTAGGTGAGTGGATGGATGGATGGATGGGTGGATGGATGGGTGGGTGGGTAGGTGAGTGGATGGGTGGATGGATGGGTGGATGGATGGGTGGGTGGGTAGGTGAGTGGATGGATGGATGGATGGGTGGATGGA